ATGGTTGAATTTTTTGGCACAACCTTCATAACACAAATAAAGCTTTTACGATGATGATGGTAGAATTGTCTTCGTTCCTCAAGAAAGGTTACGGCGCCACACTTTTTCTTTATGGGGCCATTCTTCTTTTGATCTCATTCTTATTTGCTTTGGTTTCTTTATTTCTTTTTTAAACACAAAAAATAAATAAATCTTTTGAGTATTATGAAAACATGGAAAGAAATTTACAAAACCCATTTGAAGAAAATTTAAAGAGTGTTAGAAGAGAAACAACTTCAGAAAAGGAAAAACAATTCAAAAAAGTTCATTGAAGAAAAGAAATAGAGGCAAAAAGAATTAAGAACATATAGAAAATTTTTATTTATAAAAATGATACATCTATATATAACAGAAAAGAAAAATATATTAGAATCTCACTTCGATATCGGAGAAAATCACAACTCAAAGTTATTGCAATTGTAGAGTATGAATATATACAACAAAAAACAGATATCAAAATCTCTATGTATTATTTGAAAAAAAAAATCACTATTTCAACTTATACAACATAAACCTAAAGATGACAAAATCAAAGACCATTAATGAGAATTCTGAAATACGCTTTAGTTCGATCTTCACCTCATTATTTGGCACTTCCTCTTAAACATTCTTCTGTATAAAATATCTTCGTGCATTTACCTTAAACAAAAAAAAAAAAAAAAAAAAAAATAGAAACCATACCATACCTTATAATTTTTCTTTTCCACTACAGTCTTTGACATAGAGATAGCTCAAACCATTATAAACAAAATATAAAGTTAGTATCAATCATATTTGTTCAAAACATAGAAGTCCTTATATAGGTACATACAGAGGAACATATAATAAATTGTCATAAACTTACATATTAAATATTTAGAGGTTATGAATATGAAAGGCATGAGAGTTATTGAGATTATTAAAAATATAGGTTATGAAGATAAAGAGGTGTGAGTTATGAANAGTTGCCCGCGCGAAGACATCAACTTTAAATTTATAAAATGATATTTTTGACTTCTTGTTGTTGTTACTATTCTATTATGTATTTCATCTTCTTGTGCAAATAGTTTATTCGAAAACAGTTTCCCTATCCTAGGGTAGGGATAATGTTTGCTTTACATACTACCCTACTCAGATCGCACTTGTGAGATTATACTGGGTTGTTGTTGATATTTTGGACTTCTTGTGAAAGGAAGAAATGAAAATTTTTCATGTAACCTTGACCAATCTATAACTAATTTGAATTATTTATTTCTTTTTCACTTTGAGTTATAAGTTTGACTTTAATATACATTCCATCCAATATAATTTGAACTATTTAGCTATTTTTTGTTTGTTTTTGTTTTGAAGGCTACTTTGCTATTTGAAACAAATCTACTCGTATTTCTTCCACAGCTACCTTAAAGACGAATTTTCTGGCCAAAATATAATATTTTTCATATTGATAAAATGCCTAGTTTTATTTCTCAAAATAATAGGAAGCTGGGTTTTTCTCTGATCGATCAGATCAATTGGATTATCAATTTCATTTTCAAAAAAAAGTTCTCTAAAACTTTGAAGCATAATTAATAATATAGATGCTGGTCTTCGGTCTATATAGAACTACACTAAATAACAAAAATCAAAATCAATAAGATAGTGACAACAACTAAACCAATGGCAATATTTGACATGTAAAATATTCTTATGAATATAAAATAACTGAAGAAACTTATGATAATTAAAGTGATTTTATGAGATAAAATTCAGATATGACCTACTGCCTTTGGGATTTTTTATATGAAGAATCAATCTAAATAGACATTCACTCAATCGCTTAAACTTAAAATAGCCCGTAGATGTATAATATATAAATAATCCATATATAATCATCATCCGCAAAAAGAAAAAGAGGAAAGAGAACAAAAGAAAAAAATGTAAAAGAGAAAGGAAAAAACAAATAAATCCACAAATTAGACATTAGCAAAAAAGACGAAAAAGTGAGAAATTGAGAATACAAGAGATTAAAAAACATTAAGGCTCAAATATCAAATAATGCTCAAATTATAAAACAAAACGTATGCAACATTGAGTACCAATGCAATAGTATTATTAAAAATAAAAAAGAGGAGTAAAAGATCCCTATATCAGTGGTGGAAAATGACAAAAATAAGTTAGCCACAATAACAAAGAAATCAATAACAGAGATTGAATTATAAAAAAGTGAGAATGCAAGATATTCTAGGAAGAAGGAATTCTGAAAGCTACAAGTTTAAAGTGGAAAATCAAAAGGCAAGGAGGTAATAACAAATGTATGGTTTCTTTTCCTTCGCTGCTCCCTTCAAAGCTATTGTTGTCTTTCTGCAACTCACGTCTTCAGATCATCATACCCAATTTATTCATGGTGTCATAATATAGATTGCAAGATCACTATTAATGTCCTTCATTTACTACCAGCTAATGAAAAGGTATTGGAAATGAAAGGTTTTAGAAACTGAAAATAGTTAAGGGACTTGAAATTAATATAATGAGATGCAATAAATACAATAGAAAATGATCAATTTTTAATTATTGAACAAATTAAATTAAATGAATGAAGAAAAGGCAAAAAAAAGGAGAAAAAAATAAATAGGAGCCTTGGCCAAAGAGAGATGCCAAGTCATCTTGTCCATTCCCTCTTATATATATATATAGATAGATGTTTGTAGTCATTTCATAACCTCCTACTTACCTTTTGAAGTTTTCAAGTTGATGACTCTAAGTAAAATACAAGTGTACTCAAGCTCATGATTGGTGCAAGCTTCATCTTCAAATGGATCTAACATGTGTGGGCGCACTCTGATTATTAGGATAAGGAAGATGCACGAAGACAACCATAATTTGAATTGTTTAGCAAAAAACAAAAACAAAAACATAATTTGAATGCATGTGGATTAAAAGTATCTCTATATCTTATGAATAAATCATATTGATCTAAGCATTCCATGAATATTATCATATGCTATTCAATCCCAAGTCCTCTTTGCAAGTTCCTTTGAAATACTTGAACGATCTAATCGGTCAGTCAATTAGAATTTAGAAGCATGAAATACAAGATTGAATAAACGACTCATTCTTCATTAATAGGAACCAAGAACGATAGCAAAACAACCCAAGTTGCATAATAGGATCCACCATAACCCCAGAGAACAAATTTATCTCAAGATAGGACTTTTAGAACATCATTCCCGAACATCAAGAACATAGAAAGAAAATTAGTAGAACGAAAAATCTATGGTTAAAACCTTGTCTTGTCAAGAATTCTTTGTTCAGTCCTTGTTCTCTCCTCAAAAACGCCATCCAAGATTCCTTTTAGACATACTACAAGCCTCCTCTTACAGCCCCCCCCACCCAAATAATCCTCACCAAACAAGGAAACCTAACAATTTCCAGAAAACATAGTTGACCACAGATGCACACAAGTCGAAAAGCCAGTGCATATGCACAACTTCTCTTCTCCAAGTCTGATGTATACACGCATAAAGGTCAACAGAATCAAAATGGACTCATCAGTTAGATAAACTCAGTAATGTAGGTAGGCATAAACACATTTAAATGTTCTCACCAGTATCTGAATCAATAGCAGCATCGAGGACATAGATCTTCTAGAAGAGGTTATTATGGGTTGCAGGGAGATCTCTATGTTTTCAGCCATGTCAGAAGACGTTACTGAATGGTCCTTCCTGGGCACGATCATTTCCACGTCCTTCATGAGTTTGGCATGCTCAGTAGGTTCTAATGAAAACATAATCAGAAAGAAGGGTAGAAATGAAAGAGCAGCTAGCTGATCTTTGCATCGTTGTTGCAAGATCACCTTCTCTATAGAATACACCATTAGGAGCGTCAAGACCAGACCATGTTGAGAAGAATACCGACTGGACAAACTTCAAGTCTAGGTAAGTGACAAGAGGAACTGGCTTTCTTTAGCCGCCGCTCAACATAAATGAATGCTTCTTGCTGTTATTCTAAGGCTGATCAGAGTGTGTCAACTACTCTTAAAGGTCAGCCAAAATGACAACTTCTCGGTGTCCTCAGTCCATAAACAAACCTCATGGCTCCCAGGATACCTGAAATTAGCACAATCTTTGTCTCTTCCTCTTGACCACGCACTATCAAAGTTTGGATCCATGAACGCAACAAGTTTAGTGCTAGCACTATCTGGGTGCTTGTAATTGATGCAACTTCGGATATAGACCTGTTCACTAAAGCCAGAGGCGGACCTAGGAATTGAGCACGACGGGGGCATCACTGTTTACTTATCTAGCGATAAAATTTGGCCTGCAACTCTTGGAAAACTCAATGATTATAATGACTTATTATCCAAGTATAAACAAAAAGAAGTTCTAAAAAAAAGAACCAAATAGAGAGAGAAACTTCTTCGCAAAATAGGTGCTATGGTATGGGAAGGTGTTAGATTAAGCATGTTTCGCCCTTTAAAATTTCTAGTTTTTTAGTATACAAAAAAAAAAAAAAAGAAAAAAAGAGGGTCAGAGATCGAAAGGGCGTTCAAACTTTAAATTATCAAAAACTTCCTAAAAATTAAAATGAAGTGCATGTTAACAGTCAATGAATTGAAGAAAAGTCTCAAACTCTTAGCTGTCATTGCCGAGTAGGTGTCAAAGTAATTGTTGAAGAAGGTTGTGCCAGAAGGATTCGTATTTTTCTATTTGTAAGTTGCAAACTGAGGCTTTTAAATTTAAGGAAGGGGTTTGAAAACGAATAAAATAAATTAAATTGACTGTTATGTATTAGTAGTAAACTATAATTGAATTCAAAAAAAGATAAGAATAAAAAATAAAGTAGTTTGCTATTAAATATAAATTACATTGTATTCAAAGAACTAAAATGGAAAGGAGGAGAAATAAACTATAATTGAATTCAAAAAAAGATAAGAATAAAAAATAAAGTAGTTTGCTATTAAATATAAATTACGTTGTATTCAAAGAACTAAAATGGAAAGGAGGAGAAATAAACTATAATTGAATTCAAAAAAAGATAAGAATAAAAAATAAAGTAGTTTGCTATTAAATATAAATTACGTTGTATTCAAAGAACTAAAATGGAAAGGAGGAGAAAAAAGAACCCTAAAATAGAAAGGAGGAGAAAAAATAACTAAGATAGAACGGAGGAGAAACGAGAATTAAAATACAAAAGAGGAAAAAAAAGATAAAAAAGAGGCGAAAGAAGCTGAAGTTGGTCTTGAACCCTCGTTATGTTCTGATAATGAATGGAACTGAAGCGACTGATCAACCACTTCTGCCATTCGCCTTTTAGTTTCTGGGGTCACAGGTAAAATTTTTAAGGGGTCCCATATATATATACAGGGTTTTTGTCGAGACTAACGGGGTCCTGTGACCCCTCAACCTACAACATAGGTCCGCCTCTGACTAAAGCTCGCTTTTGCTTCTACAAGCATCAACAGTGAAATGCTGCTATCTCTTAGTTCTTTTGAAGAGCTTGAATTCACCAATAATCACCGCAAGAGCATAGACCTCCTTTAAAGTGATGGAATCTATTTGAATCCCTGACAACGATTTCCCTTCCCTCTATCTTCGATATTAGTTTAATAACGGTGTGACAGTCACCACAGACTCTGAGATTCTTGACAATCTGGATGGGAATTCCTGGAGATGTGGCAATTAATCCAAAAGCAATAGCTAACCTTTCACTGTGCCGAGAAAGAATGGCTTCTTTATGTTCATCTTCCACATCATGAAGAACATAATTTGTATCTGGTTTATATCCTGCATCCTTCAGTCGGACACTAAGCTCGTCAAGTTTCACGTATATACTGTCAGCTAAGGGATGTGACACATCACCCGCCATGAATGAGTAGGTCTTGTTCTTAACCTCAATCCAGCTATAACCAATCTCCTTTTTAACTTTTCTCACATCCATTAATTTTCTTATTTTTGCTCTTTCTTGCCAATTTCCAGTTGCAGCATAGAGATTAGATAGGAGGACATATGCAGCTGAGTCCTGTGGCTGAAGGGAAATAAGATTATCTGCGGCAAGTTTCCCAAGCTCAACATTGCGGTGAACTCGGCTTGCTGCCAGAAGAGTACGCCATACGATGGCACCAGCAGGAAATGACATCCCATTGATAATAGCCATGGCTTTATCCAGCATACCAGCTCGGCTATACAAGTCTACCATGCAAGAGTAGATCTCCATTGTTGGAGAAATATGTAAGTTGTTTACCATCATGTCAAAATACTTTTGACCTTCATTCAGTAGTCCTGCATGAGTACAGGCAGAAATAACTCCAATGAATGTTATATTATCCATTTCTAAATTCCTTTTTCGCATTTCCTCGAATATCTTTAGTGCTTTTCTGCCATAACCATGTTGTGCATATCCTGATATCATTGAGTTCCATGAGACTAAGTCTCTTTCTTTCTGTCTCTTGAAAACCTCATTTGCACTTTCTATGTTCCCTCTTTTAGCATACATAGTAACCAGGGCGCTGCTCACACAGAAAGCATTACTATAACCTGATTTTATTGAGCTTGCATGAAATTGTTTTCCTTGCTCCACTGATGCCATGGAAGTAGTGCATGCATTGATGACGCTGGAGAAGGTAAACTCATTTGGCCAAACCCCACTTTTGGATAATTGCCGGAAAACTCTCACAGCACCTTGAATGTCTCCTCTTTGAGCATAACCAGATAACATAGCAGACCAAGCAATGATGTCCTTCTCATCAATCTCTTCAAAAACTTTAGCAGCCTCACCAATATTTCCTGTTTTCACATATGCGTCTAATAATGCAGTTCCTACAGTAGGTGAACCTTCGTACTTGGTTTTGATAATTTCTGCGTGTACTTGGAACAAAGAAATAGAGGGTTGAGCAGCAAGAATAGTTGAATACGTGAAATCGTTTGGTCTAATACCATCCTTCTTCATTTGGCAAAAGAGATTTGCTGCTTGCTCTGGTCTATTATTCTGCATATACCCCCCAATCATTGCTGTCCAAGAAACCACATTCCTGAATGTGTGCATCATAGAGAATAAGTTGAAGGCATCATCCATTTCCCCACACTTAGTATAAGAGACCATGAGTGCCGTTCTAATATTATTGTCTAAATAGAACCCGTTCTTCGTAACGCGACCATGAAGCTGCCGAGCAAAAACCAATTCTTTAAGATTAGTACATAATTTGACAGCCGTAACATAGATCGACCGCGTCAGTTCCACACCTGCAAGTCTCATCATGTGGAACAACTTAACTGCTTCAGAATAAAGCCCATTAGTCACAAGACCACCAATCATGCCATTCCAAGACACTTCATTCCTATTTCCCATACTTTCAAATACAACTGTGGCCTCTCTAACCATCCCAGACTTCAAATACATATTGATCAAAGAATTTCCCACAGATGTTATCACCTCAAAACCACACTTGATAACCATAGTATGCACTTGAATTCCTTTTTCAACTGCACATTTATCGGCCAAAACTCCAAGAACTGTTGCGAAAGTAAACGCATTAGGATTAACTCCTCCAACTAACATCATATGAAACACTTGTAACGCTCTATCAACCAGCTTATTGCACGAATAACCCGAAAGCAACGAAGTCCACGTCACAACATTCTTGTCCTCCATTTCGTCAAACACTCTCCGACCTTCATCCACGTTCTCCATTTTCATGTACATGTCAACAAGTGAAGTCCCAACACTAACATTGTCAAAATAACCGGATCTTATACAGAGAGCATGCACTTGTTTACCAAAAGTTAGATCAGACAGGCATGCACAGACCTTCAATATACAAGAAAGGCTAGACCCATCAATCAAAAGTCCTGTACGATGAACACCAACAAAAAGATTCAGAGCCTCTTCATTGAAACTGTTCCTAGAGTACTCAAAAAGCAAGTGATTGTTCAGAGAAACTCTCTGTGGATTTTCATCAAACAGGTGGTGCACGTGGCGATAATCTGAACATGCAGTTGATTCAGCTTGAGTTTCTGCTGCCAAATCAATGGCCTGCGAATGAGAACAATAATGGATGTCTAATGGATTAGTGAAATGCAGGAGAGGCCTTATTTTTTTAAAACACGGCCTTACAATCATTGCTCGTTTAGCTGGCTTTACAGTTCGAACCGTTGGAACTGAAATTTAAACGTTCGTGCGTGAATCGGGCCTTGTCTTGACCCGCCAAACTTTTACACTATATATCCATACTGTGGTATGGTAACCCTATAAAGCGAGATTTATAATCTTGATAAAGAAAATAAATTACTGATCACAATAAGTAAAGAGGATTTGATAGCACCGGCACGACCAAGAATTTCACCAAGGGGTATCAAATATAAAGAAGTAAACATATAATGGTATATATGCATATATATATACATAAAAATAAATTTTTGACCTAGCAACACAATGTAAATGTTCATGTTATCTGTCTTTGTATTATAGTTATGGAGTTGAAAATAATAATGATGAGAAATTGTTGAAGTTGATTTTTGTACCCAATTTATTTCTTAAATGATAAAAGAGATCCTCTAATATTTGAATACACGAGCATTTATTTGCTTTATAGCAACCATGACATGAGTGAAGTCATATAATGTTGGGAAAAAAAAAATAGAAATATAGAGAAAATTTGATATTTGGAGTAAAATCTTCAACTTCTAGAAGTCATTTTTAAAATTTAAGTATTCTTATCATATGTTAGTTAAGTTAATTTATCTAATGATATATATATATTATATGTTTGATAAATTAACTTAACTAACATATGATAAGAATACTTAAATTTTAAAAATGACTTCTAGAAGTTGAAGATTTTACTCCAAATATCAAATTTTCTCTATATTTCTATTTTTTTTTTCCCAACATTATATGACTTCACTCATGTCATGGTTGCTATAAAGCAAATAAATGCTCGTGTATTCAAATATTAGAGGATCTCTTTTATCATTTAAGAAATAAATTGGGTACAAAAATCAACNCATAGCCCCATTAAAGGACATGGGTGAAGCTTTGAAAGCGCTTTTAGAAGACTTATAACAAGAGCTCAAACAAGAACTTCAAAACATACATAGTGATGCGAAATTGGAGCATTAGAATTGGCCAACTAACCGGCGATTTACATGAAAAACTAGCATTCCACTTTATCTTCTCAAAGTAGAAACAAGTGTTAGTTAATGAACTTTATTGAACCAGAATATTCAAGTTATATATAAATGAAGTAGTAAAAGAGCATAAAAGAATAAAACAGTACAAGATGAGGTTCACAGAATTGTCACGCTATATGCAGCTTTTCTGATCCCTAAGAAAGAAAGGGTGCAGAGGTAATATAAAAAAAGAAGATACCAATTTAGTAGAAGTTAATATAGACAACTGAATTGAAAAGATAACATGGAGATTTACACAACTTTAATAAGAAGGTAAAATGGTCTCCTGGCCACTTAAACTTGTACCCGATTGTCATGCCAGTAAATGAACTTTCAAAATTTTCATATGAACACTTCAACTTGAGCATACATGAACTAATAAACACCTCCGACCTATGACTCAATCTACGTGGCATCAGTTATTCCTAGTCAGTTGTTGTGCGTGTAAGTCACGCATGGCAGGAGCGTGAATGAGTTTTTTTCGATGCCCAACGGTCATAAACACAAGGGCCCATATATTTAGAGGGCTTCCTTTTCCTCCTTTGGCCTACAACCTCCATTATTGACGTATACAAGCTCTGTAGCACTTCTTCTCTTCAAATTTTTTACAGATTCAAGTATTTTTTTCTTTCTCTAAGTCGATATTTTATTCTTCAAGCCAAGAATGCAATGGAAACTCGTGTAGTTTGTCGTTGTGGAGTTGACGCTGTTGTGTGCATAACCTGGAAGCCCACCAATCCAGGTAGAAGGTTCTTAGAATGCTCAAATTATGGTACAACTAGTCACTGTAATTTTTCATGTGGATTGACCCATCTCTTCCAGATCATTACAACACAAGTAATTTTGGGACTGCTATCAAGAATTCACATCAATGAGCATTGAAAGAACATGAGAAAACAATATGTAATTGCGTTTGTTGTTGCTGCACTGCTCTTTGTAGTGTTATTCTTAGCTTAGGATCTTTGTATTGTATGTTTATTCTTAACAAACAAGACAAGGTAAAGTGTATGAAGTATTTTGCTGTAATGAAAAGTTATGCTTGGCATTAACATATGAACCTATATTAGACAAGTTCAAAACAACTATTTTGATTGTTAATAGTAGGCCATCAAATCTGCACACTAGGAGAAATCAGTTTACTACTGTGTCTAAAACCAAACCAAAACAACATTAACTAAGTTCTGAATATTTCAGACCAAATCTTCCACAAAATAACCTACAAATAAATTCTGATACTAACAGACTTAAACTTTCACAAAAAAAAAATATTTTTTCAAATCATTATGGTTGAGACAGGTTGAAGTTGGACTGAGATTAGCTCAGGTTTGGTTGAGTTGAAGAATGAGCTTCAGACTGGCTTAGGGTTGCCTGAGTTTGTCTCCTTCTAGCCTGTTGTTGAAGCTAGGGCTGTGCATTTGGATCGGATATCCGAAATCCGATCCGATCCGCTCAATTTCGGATTTCGGATTTCGGATATTTGGATCGGATTCGGATTTGATTTTTTAAAATTTCGGATTTTCGGATTGGATTCGGATGTGTATAGTTTGAACCCGATCCGATCCGAAATCCGAATTTATTAAGGGAATAATAAATACTAATTTTATTTTTAGGGTTAGGTCACCTAACCCTTATTTCATTCTTCGGTCTGCCTCCATCTAATTCTCAGAAGCAAATTTTTGATGTTGCTGCGGTCTGCGCCTCACTTTCTCAGTTAACCCTTTTCACTTTCTCAGTTCTCACGCCTCAGCTCAGACTCAGTCCTCACTTCACAGCTTCAGTCTTCACTCTTCTTCACGCCTCACAAGTCGCACCCAGAGACTGTTGTGCTGGTGCTGCTCACTTCAGTCTTCACGCGACGCCTCAAGCTGCTCCCTCCTGCTCGTCGTTTCCTCTAGCTCTTCTCTGTGTTCCGGCGACCGCACTGGTAACTGGTAAGACACTAAGAATTGATGAAATTCTTAAGAAAGACACTAGGGTTAGGTCTCTTTGTTCTCTTTTATTTCTTGGATAAAATTGATGAAATAAATTGGGGGTTTCACTCTTGATTTTCTTAAACAGAAATAGACCATACTATACTACTATTTTGAATCCGATTTTAATTTTAATTTTTTGTTTTGTTTCGTAGATGGAAGATGAGGTAGAGATGGTGAATAAAGTTCAAGCCCTTGTAAAATGTGGTGAAAGTGGTGCTTCAAATGATTCCACAAGCAACGTC